CTCATAAAGAGGTCTAGAACCACTGCTATCTTGTAGGGCTGTATGTAATATGGCATTTTGAATTGAATTTAACAAGTCTCTTGAGTAGAGGGATGCGCAGTTGCAGAAATTGGAGGAGGATTTGAACTCAATGTGTGGAACAACTGATTATTACCTTTATGAGTGAAATTGCAATGACACCAGGTTTTATTACATCTTTCATCTTTGAACAAACATTCTTCACAAACTGATAAAGACAAAAATATAAAAATAACATTAAGCTATACTTAGTCATTGACAAATCGAAAACAAAACTTGTATCAATTCAGGGGTGCAAGTCATTCCAAGGTACATATTTATCAGGGGTTTGATTATCATTTTCACAAGCAGGCAAAACTTCTTGAACTGACTTCTTTATAAGAAAAACTTTCCTCTAGATAGCCAAACCAGTTGGGCAAAACCATCATCTCAGCCGGTCAATTTGCTTGGTGCCCATCCCTTAATGAAACCCCTGAATTTACTGTAGGTCATGAAATATCATAATAACTATTTGCACATACAAGTTGATCTAAACTTTGAATGAAAGAATGGATCAAATAACCCAACAGGTGAAAGAAAACCCATGCAGCTGTGCAACTGTGTTCAACAAGAGACAAAATGCCCAGAACTATCTACATCTTGCAAAATAGGGATTGAGACCCCAAAGTACCTTGGAACTCCTGTTAATACAGTCACCAACAGGCCATAAAAATTTGGCTGAAATAACCAGGTGACCATGAGGCGGGGTTCCACTGTATAAAAATAAAAGTTATTCACCTGGTGAGGCACAACAAACACCAAAATATCTGCATCCTTTGCAGCTGTGACTACATCTGGGGTTGCTTTCTACAATAAAAGAGACACAAAGGGTTAGTAAATAATTATTTTCAAGGTTAAATATTAAATTATATCAGAAATGTATTTGTTATAAAAGGAATAAATTAATATAGTTCTCACTGCCCAGTTGACAAGTGTTTTCTAAAATTACCTTAGTTTACTGCATCCTCAATTTGTTAGAAAATTGTAAATTTTAAAAGAATAATGTGTTGGTAAATATAGGCTTGACCCACAAAAATAAAATATATAAGAAGGGGCAGCCTAACTTCTAACCAAAATTTGAAATAAAATGAAAATTGATATTGAAATAGAAACCTTGTACTTTTCATTTTCCAACAACTCAGAATAGTTAATGCCCCTCACGGGGTGAACCATTAGATTTTTAAGGGGGGCAGAGGGGGTGTGATTTTGACAAAAAACTATCTTGCAAACATACGTGTACCAAAAAAATCATGCATGTGACCAGTCACTGCCAAAAACAGCCATGCACATTCAGTAAACCAAAAAAGTATGTTATGCAGAGAAAAAATATCATGCATACACAATTCCTGAGAAAAAAAAATTGTAGTTCATGTAATTGTTAAAAAAGTCATGCCTATAGCAATAACCCACACACCCCCTTGAAAGTCAGATGGTACACCCTTAGACCTGTGGATTACACGGCCATAAAGGTTTCATGTTACAAGATAAGAATTCCTAATAAACGAAAGAACTCTAAATCATAATACCATTATTTCACAGATAAAATTTACCATTTTGGTGCAAAATATCAAAAGCAAACTTTATATAATATTTACAAGATATAAGTCAAATAAGCTGAGTTGGCAGAATTATAGTGAATGATGATGAAATCTTTGCTGCCTGGTCATGGCTTTTTTGACAAACCGAGTTTGTTTAGACAAAAATACTGTAAGTAGACAGGAAAGTCAACCATATTTCATGCAATAAACCCAAGCCTAGATAATCAGCTGGAAATCCCAGAATTGCAGGTAATTTCCTATGGCCTGTGCAACAGAAGTTCCTGCATGATGTTCCAACTATGAGAAAACTCTTGCAATTCAGGATGGAATTTAATCAATTAAACCAAATATTGGACCTTTCTGTCGTTGTATGTTTCTTAATAGCAACAAATAAGATTTAATTAAAACTTTTGATAATAAATTGATTAACACATGGAACAATCACTTGTCTCAAACTAACTCATCTGTTATCCAGCAATACAAACAAATACTTATGCTTATGCAAATTAAGTAAGACTGTTTACACACAGTACAGCCCTTGACACTAATTTATACCCGTCTGCTTGAATAACAACCTTAAAATAGCGCCTACTCAGACGTTATGTTGCTTGCTTCGGGTGTTTTCTTAAGGGACAGGCACAACACCTTCATTTTCGCATTTACTAAGCAGGATTTCATGTGTTACCACCACATCCAAATGCAGATTTGTTTCTGAATTACACAATTTTCTGGTGACATAAATTTTATTTAGTACATTCCATTGGCGAACTCTCTTGATCTTTTGTAATATTAATCGATCTCTATGAACTTACGATGTTCTCCGGGAGCTTAAACCCTTTCAGGTACTTCACATTTTCGTGTTCTGTGTTGATAATCTCTGTGAGTTTCTTTCCTTCCACCAGCTCTTCATAAACGTACATTTGAACTTCTTCCTGGAATAGATTCGGATGGTCTTTCACATTGGCACCGACAATCCGAGATATCACAGAACCCCTAAACAAAGTTAATTAACACAAACCAGTTAAGTTCAAGCGCATACCGCTAAACTAAACGTGTTCCAGAACCACTCGATCAAGTCGATTCGAAGGTAAATTTCTCTGTTACTGAGACCAGAAATAGTGAGTTCGAATCTCTAGTGAATTAACTTACCAGTTTCCAGAGCCAATTATCGCGACTTTTCTTGGAGCCGCCATTCTTAAACCGTGCAGAGCTCGAGTAAAACAGCTCATGCTTTCATGGTGGAACTGATGTGGTAAACGAACAGCATCATGGGACATGGGGCACCCACGGCCACAGGCCACAGGAATACCAACATCTCGAGAAAGCCACGCGCGAGACACGAGGTTTCCTCGAACATCGAACAAAAAATGCACAGTATAAGGAAGTATGTCATATGCATCAAATTCAACTGATAGTTTATTAAGATCTTGGAAAGAAATTGTCTTCAAAGGAAATAATGCCCTGAAAGGGTAAAATATTAAAAGGAGAATTTATCAAGATTTTGAAGAACCAAGGTTCCTTGGCACCGACTTAGTTTCTGCAGAAGAACTCAGTTGTACCACACGTGTGCGGCGGAGGAGAAACCACCCTGCCTGTCTTCGCTCTTCTCTATCTTTCCTTCCTTCATCTCAATTTGTATTCATGCAAACGATGTTATTCTCCGACTGGTATTTCGCGTTATGTTTAACGATTCTATTTCCCGGTCAGTAGCGGAGAAGCCTAAACCTTTAGGGGAGTGATCATAATCGGCAAGAGAAGACGACTGAAATTTCCGCTATTCTATGAAAAAGCATGCAAACAGTACAAAACGTTTTCGGCCTTGAAATATTTCCGAGGCTTTTGAGAAACGCGAACGCCTTATCAGGATGTCTACGGTCACTTTTCGAAATTTCCGGAAACTTTTTTCAGTTTTCCCGCGCTTTCTGGTGAAAAATGCATGTTTGGTCATTTTGCTCGTGAAGTGTGCGATACGAACCTACCACGAGACATACGTCCATTAACTTTTCATTGCATGTAAGTTTTCAAAGAACAAACCTTTGTGTTTCTGTATTGATTACCTTGCAATGAAAGAAGATCAGTACACCTACATTTCCAATTTATTACGGAATATCAAAATCAAAATTCAGTCCAACAAAGAAATCATTTTATTGAAATCACAAACTTATCAAGATTTAAGCTTACAGCTCCAACGTAGAAATACAAATTTGAAATCCATTCAGTTTACATACTCAGGTACCTGCCATTTGTCAAGTTTAGTTTTCTAAAAAGTTGTATAAAATCAAAACATCATAATTGGGTTTTTTACAATCATGGGCTTTTGCCTTCTCAATAATTGTCAATGAACAGACCTTTTAATTATCAAATATCAAACTTGCGATCTACTTTTAAGTTGATTACAAAATCAAACTTTTCAAAATACGTAAGTCGTATAATCAGGCTCTGAACTTTAACAAAGCTACCTTATTATTCCAATCTGAAATAACAAATTTCAATATTAAACTGACCTAACATTTAACTTTTCGGAAATCTTCAATACTAAGCTAAAAAAAAATTAAATACTATATTGTTTTAAACGACACCTCGGCTTGATATCCGGAACCTTTCGTTCCCAGAGGTCGTGTCGCGCATGGTTTGGTCAATGTGCGGGCGCGGTTGGTTGTTGTCATAGAGAGTTTAAGCATGACGTTTACGGCAGACGGCAAAGATTACCTCTGAATTTTTATTCTTTTTTTTATCCGTAATAAATCACACAAAAATAGAAAAAAGTCTCCTACCATTTACCGCAAATACAAATATTTTCACTCTACTGTACAAACAGCTGAAGACAGACGGCAAAAGTTTCATCTTTGCCGTTCGCCGTAACGTCATGTTTAACCTCTCTTATACTTAAGCATGACGTTACGTCAAACGGCAAAAATGAAACTTTTGCCGTCTGTCTTCAGCTGTCTATACAGTAGAGTAAAAATATTTGTATTTGTGGTGAATAGTAGGAGACATTTTTCTACTTTTGTGTGGTTTATTTAAGGATTAAAAGAAAATATTAAAAGTTCAGGGGTAATCTTTGCCGTTTGTCGTCTGCCGTAAACGTCATGCTTAAACTCTCTAAACTCTCTAATTAAAGCGAACTTCGAACGCCATAACTTACTAAACCGGATAACGACCTTCATGCATGGCGAAGTCGCAAGTTAGTCGGGTAAGCGTCCCCTCGAGCATCCAATCATTACAATTGGGCTTCTGTTTGTGGTTTCCGTTTAATTTCAGATATAATTGAGGCTCTGCTATTCACTTTACAAGTCCTAAGTTCATGAAAATCGTATTGTCACCAATCACACCCTTTGGACAATTTTGCTCTATGTCAAAATAACTTTCTTTAGATCTATAATTTAGCAATTCATCACCTTGGATTTGTACTACCTATGAGGAACTTTTTTTTATTAACTACTCTCTTATACCTCTTAATATCATGCATGATGCAGTCACATAATTTTCTTACTGTCTTCCCACTTTTGTGGTATGTCCATTACACTATTAATGTCTTTATTTTGTGTTTTTTCCTGGTCATAGTCATCCCACACTGCTCTGTCACTGCTCTGGTATTGCTCTGCCGCTGCTCTCCCACTGCTCTGGGGAGATAAGGAGAATACCAAGAAACACATACAGAAGATTGCTCAACTAGCCAAACTAATGTGAACAGTAACGCTCCAAAGAAATTACAACACTTCAAGCTTCAACACTCCAAGCTTGGATCAAGTTACAAAGTTGGAATTACTAAGTTGGAGCAATCTCTTCAGACAGGAGCTTAAGCAGACTGCACAACAGCTTCCTGGCCTGGAACAACTTCCACAACATCCATAGAGGCATTGTCAGTGGATGACTCTGAGGCCATCTCAACATCACCGTCATCAGCAGCTTGTACTTCACCATTAGCATTATTAGAAGTGGCTTGTGTTTCATCAACAGCATTCGCAACTTCATTCCCTGCTTTATTTTGATTAGCTGATGTTGTTGTGCTTGTCTCCTAAAAAGATTTTAAAGCAAGGTGTAAGTAAATATCTTATCAGCTCTAACAGCTGCACTGTACACTGGTATTTGATAATATTTAAATAATTTAAGAGTTCCTGGTCTCTTCTGCTTTTACTTTAGAATCCTATCATGTTTTCCTTGTAGAATGTAAAATTAACCACGACATTAAAAAAGTAAGGGAAAGGGGAAGATCCATACTGAAACAAAAGGCAGTGGCCTGGATTGAAATAGTACCAGAAAAAATAATGTTGGCCTACCAGCCTCGCTTTTACATAACAAAGTTGAGGCTCAGGCCTCCTGGATCTGTCTCGGGATAACTATGTTATCTTACCGTTGCAGTTAGGTTTATGAGAAAATGTTTGTACAATTTGAGGTAATAAACTAAACAACTTTCCAATACTATGTTTTGACACTTTTCGAATTGAT